AGGATTTCGGAGTCCGGATTGCTCGAAGCCGGCTTAGCAGTAGCCTCCTGGCACCATCCCTACCGCCTCTTGCGTGCTCTACTTTCCATCTGCTATTGTTCCAGATTGTTTCTGGCGGTGAGCCTTGCTCTGAAACTTAAGAAAGTGCTGGATTTCCCCTTGTTCGACTGAGGAATCGCAGACCACATCTGGGTAGCTGGATGCAACCCAGCCACAGCCCTGTTGGATACCAAAGTGCTTACTCCTGTCCAAAGTGCCATGCCTGAACTGCTACAGGGAAGAGGCAGCTCCTGAGACCCGCACCTGTGCGCTTGCTTGCTTGCCTTGCGCTTCTCCTTCCTGTCCACCTTCCTGGACACAGGCAGCACGGAGAAAGTCTGCCTCGGATGTGTGCGGTGGAAACTGGTTCTTGGAGGCTGGCGAGCTGAGGCTGGATTTGAGGGAGGAATATTAGACTTGGAGGAGTCTGCGCGCTTTCCACCTCCCAGTGCAACTCGCGGTCGCAGCTAGTTCATCGCAGGGTCCCCGCGCTCACTCCCCACCCCACCCACTTCCTGTGCTCGCCCGGGGGGCGTGTGCGTGCCGCTGCCGGAGTTCTGGGAAGTTGTGGCTTTCGAGAATGGGGGTCTGTGGGTACCTATTCCTGCCCTGGAAGTGCCTCGTGGTCGTGTCTCTCAGGCTGCTGTTCCTTGTACCCACAGGAGTGCCGGTGCGCAGCGGAGATGCCACCTTTCCCAAAGCTATGGACAACGTGACGGTCAGGCAGGGGGAGAGCGCCACCCTCAGGTAGGGAACTGCCATTCTACGAAATAATGATTTGTTTGGGCTGAGGGGACAGGGGTAGGGGGTGCGGGTGTGTGCACTGGAGCAAGCCAGGGCTAGTGGAGAGGTCGCTAGTTCCCTGCGCTGCACAATTCTTGAATGAGCTGGCTGCTCTGCCAAGGAATGTGGCAATCACAGAGCAGTGCCAGGGGAGATCTGCGTTTCCCAAACCTAGCTTCTTAGACTCAGGGGTTTGTTAAAGGTGAGGGATAGCTGTCTCACTTTGAGGTCAGTGGTCCTGATACTGCCTGTTCCTGAGCCTGATGGCTATGGTGACCTGGGACTTGCCTGAGACTCAGCATGGATGATCTCTCTGAAGTTAATGAGTCCCAAAGCAGGGACATGGTTTGGTGGGGATGCCCCCACTCTACCCGTGCCACTGGCAGTTGCCACCAGGGACCGGATTCCACAAAACCTCTTTTCCTGAGCCTGGTTTTAACAATGTTTTTCTGGGATGTCTGGATTCCATGAGATGGTGGGCAGAGGCAGATGAGGTCTCCTGTCTGAACATGGCCTTTGGATGCTAGCACCATGCCCTCTGATTTATCTGTGTAAAATGCCATTGACAGGAGTGAGCTATGTTCTATTTGTTCTATCTACCAAATCAGTATGTGCAAAACTTGGCACCCCCCAAAAAAAAAAAAAACCCTAGACTTTAGTGTTGTGTAGGGTCAGGGATGATTTCTAGGACTGAGGATTGCAAGACCTGGGAAGGAGGAGAAGAATCTTGGCTACGTTTTGTGTTAAGTGGGGCAAGACTGTCTCTCTTGTTACCTTGCTATTAAAGCACTGACTCCCTCACTAGCGTTGATAAAACCACACCTCTCACAGGAGGGCTACACTCTGGATGATTTTAATAGGAGATTTTCCTCTCTGGAATTTTTAAGAGACCAAAAATCCTTCGCACCTCCCTTTGCCTTAATGTGTCCTCTTTAATAAAGTTTTCAAAACTGGTCCATTGAACTGACCATAGGAGACAGGACACTATTTTTATCCCCTGACATGGAGATTTTTGGGAAATTAACCTTGGCTTTGGTGCCAGATGTGTTGGACCCATTGTGTTCTGAGACTGAGCTGTATGCATGATACCTACAGGACAGAAAGTGTTGGGGAGGGAGTGCTGGCAATACAGAGTTGAATTGTGAGGGCATTGTCAAAAACACATGTGATTTAAGGAGCCACGCAAGACTGCAAACATCCCAAGATCCTTTGTCTTTGGAGACCTAACCATCATAGCTCCAATGAACTCCTGGTCGTTCAATGATACATGAATGAACTCTTCAGGGAATATTTCAGGTTAAGCTAAACTGCCCAGTTGCCCCCTCTCTGAAATGACTGGGTGTTTGCTTTATGTAGGGACTTCATAGGATTTGTAACTATGCAGATTTCAGACCATTTCAATAGAAAAAGAATCCCAAACCTCTAAAACAATGTAGTCAAGAAAATTTAGTGCTCTCTAGATGGCTTCTTTGACCCTGACCCTTGGCTACAGGAAGCAGACCCCCAGGGGCAAAATAGAGATACTATGTATGGGGATTAATTTAGATACAAATAGATCCCCCCCAAACACACTCAGAAGAGAGAAAAGAAGCTAGTGAGTGCCCTAGGGGTTTGAAGATATAAGTAGACAATAGGTCTTGACAGTGACTCTCACATTCACACAAGGGGGTTAGAGTGGCCCAAAATGTCATCCCAGGAAGGCAATAGCCCTGTGGCTTAGGAGATTCTGGCTTTTTCAGAGAATTGCTGCATCTAGCAGGTGCCAGGGCCTGACACTTTTTTCTAACAGACATTATTGTGTATTGGCTCCTTTGCTCTCACTTTTCACCCTCACCTTAGTCTCTTTCAGATCCCAATGTTAGTTTGCATTTTCACACAGACTCTCCACACAGAGGTCTTGTTTGAATACAGAAGGAAGTAGGAAGATATGGCATGGCTGTGCCTGTGTACCTCAGGATTGGTCACAACCTAACCTTGCATAAAAGCTCCATCCAGTCCCCTGCTATACTGTGTCAGCCACAAAGGGCTTCATGTCTTTGTAACATTCAGGAGGGTGGCCCTTTCAGTGTTTGGAACCTTAAAAGCTAGGGATTAGATGAACCAGGGTGTGAACGATACAAGGCATTGGCCATGGCCATGATTTGTGGTCAGAACTGGCACCAGGTGTAACAGGCAAGCTGTATGTGTGCCACCCATGCCCCCTTGGGTGTTTCCTCATTCTTCTCAGATTGTATTGCCCTCGACCATGGAAGGGCTTCCTTGTTGAGGGTGAACTTTTGGGAGTGGAAGCGCTGAATTCTTAGACATTTTCCCTGCCTTTTCTTGTTCTGTCTTGGAAAGTCGCATGTAGTGATTTTAGGTTGCATTATTTTGTTTATACAAAAATTGCTAAATTTGCATCTCACTTGTTTATAAGTTGCAACCATCTAATGGTTCATGATTCTATTGTTGTTTCTTTTAAATTGTACACGAAATGGAACTGGTTTCTTCCCTTGCCTATCAACAAGTAGGGAGGCTGAAGCACCTCTGCTAACATGGAAGGCCACCCAGGTGTCCTTGCAGTAAGACTGCAGTTCCCTTCATGACCAGCAGAGGACTTTCTGCTCTAGTTTCCTTTTATTCTGCTTTGTTCTCACCAGTATCATCTTTGAGATCTTTTGTAGTCCCTAAAGATTAAGTGTTTCAGTGATAAATTCTACTTTGAAGAAACCTTGAAAGTTTATTTTACTTTCTCTGATTATCTGAGATGATCTTTTTGGAGCTATTGGGAAACAATGGTGTACAGAGTTTCAGGCATTTGCAGTCTCCCACTGTTTCTGCTCTCCCTTTGATGTTTTTTTTTTTTTTTTTTATGAATGGTGAGATCACATGACACAGAATGCGTAACTATATAGTCCTGGCTTGTTGAGTTGTCACAGTGCATCAGTGAATACTAAAGTGCTGTATATAATATCTCAACCTCCAACATTGTAAGTGAATTCTAATAATAATTATTATGTAGTTGCTATTATTATCACATTTTACAGATGGGAAAACTGAGGCATTGGCATGAAGAATTATCCTCACTTGGGCCTGGGGATATGGCTCAATTGATAGAGTGCTTGCTTAGCTCATATGAATCCCTGGTTGGATCCCTACTATAGCCCCTCATCTCACAGAAAAACAAAAAAACAAACAAACAAAAAAACAAAACATTACTTGATGAAGGTGTAATAGATAGGAAGTTTTGAAGCGGGGCTAGCAGGAGGCACCAGTACTGTTGATGTTAATACATTGAATTGTAGTATCATTTATTGATCAGCCACTGTATGGTACTATGAACTAAATGTTCAGAGTAACAGTTAATCCCCTCACTCTCTGAGATTCATTAGGTTATCTCTCATTCTACAGATGAAGGCGTTGAGACTCAAAGGGCTGCATTTATTTGAACTCACACCAGTAGCAAGTGACAGAGGTAGAATGTTGTTTCAGAGTGATTTAAGTAGATCTCGGACATCAAGATTTCCCAAGATTTATCAGGGCCCAATGAATTCTGTCTCCCTACTTCCCCAGTGGTGTTTAATGTCTGCCATCCTTTCCTCTTTTGTACTGTAGTTTAATTGCCTTTCTAATTGGGCTGAGCTCATTCTGGGAGAGCAATGATCACACCTTTTAACTTCACCAGTGCCCTGGACAATATGAAGACAAAACAAAACTCTCTTTTGCTCCTTATCCTATTTTTCTATCACTTTAATTTATAACTTAGCAATGATCAAAGAACAAAGATGTATTGCATGGTTCCTTCAGGAAGGGCATCAAGCCAGGTGCTGAATTATGTCGAAAAAGATGGAGGCCTGAACTTGGCTCTCAGAAGACCTGGCTCTAACCTCCAAAGCTAGCCTGTGAAGAAGACAATCAAGATTAACACATAGGGCTAGGGTGACAAGCTGGGTGGGTCTGAGCGGAGTGCCCTCTGATGGAAGTAGGCTTTCAGTGGTTAGGACATAGAACTAGTAGTATTAGAAAGTAGAGGCAGTGGTGGCACATGCCTTTAATCCCAGCACTGGGGAGGCAGAGGCAGGTAGATCTCTTAGTTTTAGGCCAGCTTGGTCTACAGAGAATTCAAGGATATCCAGGGCTACACAGAGAAACCCTGTCTTGAAAAGCAAGCAAACAAACAGTGTAGAGGCAATATCAAGCAGCTCAGAAACTGAGATGGTTACTGGGCAGATGAAGCCCAGGTGCAGACCTTCACTAAACATCAGGATGTCATTCAGTGATTTCTGCCTAGGGAGAAACCTGGTTCAGGCATTCCACAAAGAAAGCAGCCACTACAAAAGTGAATTATTTCCAGGGTGCGGAGCAAGTCAGAGGCTGAATCTCTTCTCTGTCTTGTGTCTAGAAGTACAGTGACTGAACCATGTTGTTTTTCTTGGACAAGGTAAAAATAAATTGTCTAAGTTAATGTGCATGATCAAGGCTGAGTTTCGATATAGCAACTCCAATGTAACACAGAAGATTGGGGTAGATCTAGAGAATCTCCTTCCAGATTTAGGAAATTGGGTTCTTTATGGGTCTGTTAGTCCTTGAAGATACTCTGAGGGCCCTGGAAGGTAAAACTGTACCTTCTTTGGGTTTTATTCACAATTTTTAAGCACATGACTTGACCCATGGAGCTTACTTTTGGTCATCCCTCCTACTAGGAACAACACTATCCAGATTGCTGCAGCCATAGTTATTTCTGGTTTGGACCCAAATACAGATGAAATACCCCAACTGAAGCCTTTGCTGACACCCAAATCAATTTAGGCCTCTTACCACTTATACCAGTCAATATCAGCTTCTCACAGTGGGTGCTTCTCAGGAGCACTCATCTCTGCTTGAAGCCATCCCATTCATGTGTTTAGTTACCATGCGGTCTGCCTCTCTCACCTGGACAGTGAATTCCCTGGGATAGGTGTACACCCTCTGGCTTATTCAGCATA